TGGCTCTACCACGTTCAGAATTCTCTTTCCATTATTAAATAAGTAACTAAATAAATATTGGTACAGATCCGTGCATAATGTATTTATAGACAGGGTCATGAAAACAACGACTTATGTACAAGAATTTATCGTATACTAAATTATATTTGTAAAATTATTTAATTCAAATTAGACAGAGGTAAAGAGTAAAGACGCAAAATACTCAGGCTGGCAACGGGCAGCAGCAAGCAGTGACATGTACGTCAGATATTGTTGATCGCAATATCTGATGTACATGTCACAAATCCGCTTGCCAAACAAACGATGTTTCTTTCTGAAATATTAGTTATGTTTTATATTAATTAGATTATAAATGTTTAAACCAAACTATGAATATTCCTCCAAGTAGAAAAATTAAAAGGAGCATTAAAAAATGTGCAAAAAAATTAAAGTGCAAGCCACTGAGACATTGTTTTGCGTATTTACATAGTCTAGAAACCGATAGAATTTTATTCAAAAATAACTCCTCGATTATAATGACAGTCCCAACTAGCGACATCTGGTGAGCGAAAGATTATTAGCTCTCATTTGAAACAAATCGTCCCGATGACGGGATACGCATGGATCCAGTATTGGATGGTCACAGGCTAATAAAGAAAATGAAGGTAAAGATAATAAAAAATCAAAAGGAAATTTCTCGACCTATTCATATAAATACACGTAAGCAGTGGTTAGTACAAAAAGTAGTTCTAAACCTAATAATGCCGGTGCATCCAATTCCCCATCTCGTCCCGTGGGTGTTGTAAGAGTCGTCAGAGAGAAATTAAACAGAAGATGGGTTCAAAGTTCAGATTCAAACAACTCAAAATAATAAAACACTGCGGTAGCCAACCGGCCTGTTAAGAGTGGCAACTATGGCAAAATCCTTCCTATGAGGTAATATATGAGAGAGGCGGCGGACTTTTATAGACTGTACCAAATAGATTCGTTTTCTGAATTTTAATTTTTAGAAAGACTACATTTTAATGGCGTTTTTTAAGCCATTCAGGTAAAAAAAGTTGTTCCTGACAATACGTTCCCGTCGTGAGGAATATTTTATTTATACATAATTTATTTATTCTGTCACTGTTGCCAATTTTGTTTATACACCTGTTGATACAATACCAGGAACCGTAGCAATGCTCTACATACATGTTAACAATGCTAACATTCCCGTTTTACTAGGATTGGTTCACCACAAATAGCCATACGATCCGTCGGATTCAATCCCAAGGCAGAATTTCGCAGTCTGTATTCTAATGTTCCACTACTATCGCTTTAATCATGCGTATCAAAAATAAAATTTTTATTATGGAAAAGATACGGTATCAATGGCGAATACATCACTCACCTTCGATGTGCCGACGATATAGTCATTATGGCAGAATTGCTAGAGGACATCAGCACTATACTCAATAACCTCAATAGTGTCATACAACGCATAAGTCTTAAAATAAACGTGAACCAAGATAAAGTTCATGTGTAATGTCCATGTCAAACCTTTACCGGGAGTTGTTAGGAGCACGACACTCGAAAGTTACTGACGAGTTAGAAGATATGACGATATTTAGGACAAATTGGCCGACCAGGTATGTCCAACTTCGTACTAAGAGGTCAATGAACGGATTCAACTCTGCTAGGCAGGCATTTGGAAGATTACGACATATCTTTCTCGTCACGTATTCCTCAAAACTTGACAAAAGATTGTAGATACAACCAATGCATGTTACCAGTGACAAATGGATCTGAGACGTTGCTCTTCACTGTATTGGCAGTATGACGAAGCCTTAGATTGCTCCACTGAGTGAACTAAGGCTTCGTCATACTGCCTGCTGCTGTCTGCCTGTCATACTGCTCACTAGCTATGTTTGGAGCATCTTTATGTAATTAACTTAGAAATAAGGATATCTGCATTAGAACTAGAGAAACGGCAATGGACTGTCTATATAGCACGAAGATAGCTGTCCGTCCATATGGCCGCCTCGTTCCGTTAAGCGAAGTGTAGGGCGGCCCGCCACTAGATGGAGTGACGACCTGGTAAGATGTGTAGGTAGGCTAGGACTAAGAGTGCCTTGTGGCACTTCCTGTCTTCGGGGAAGACCTAATCATTAGTAGACTTGTGAAATGCTTTAATTATGATGATTGTTTTATTTTATCAACCAAATATGGGACCACACTTTATAACAATAAATTAAATATCTATTATATTAAAAAAACCGGCTGCGTAAAGAAATTACTAATAAGACCTATTATATGATTATACTAGCTGGTCACCGCGACTTCGCCCGCGTGTAATTTAGGTTATTAATTTTTTTTTGCGCGGAACTCTAATTCTTTTTCTACAACAAAAGTAACCTAACTTACTCCTTATAACATCAGCTGTCTGCCAGTGAAAGTAGCATCAAAATCGGTCCAGCCGTTTCGGAGATTAGCCGGGACAAACAGACAGACGTTGTTATAAGTACCATACATACTTTCATATACATTTAGTGAAAATCTGTTATTTTGACGTTACAAATAGGCACTCCAATTTTATTTATTTGTATAGATAAGAACTTTGACACAGCTTTATTATAAGTTTCGAAAATTTAAGTGAGAATGATTGCTAACCAACTTTAAATCGTTATCGATTCTAGTCATTTAAAATGAAAAATGCTTCAAGAAACTTAAAGATGATTTTCAAAGACCTATTCAATGATGCTTACCCAACTTGACATAGTTCATCGACTTTCCTTTTTTCCTTTTTTTCACAATATGTCGTCTGGTTGTTGCCATATTGTATTTTGATTACTGTCATTGACATTCACAAGATCAAGTCAGTTTGAATGACGTAAGAATCATCAAAATATACCCACGCGTTTGGTCTTTAGAGCGGCACAAATAAACATACATGCATACATACATATATAGGCTTTTAAACACGTTACCCTCCTTTGCGTCGCGCATTTGCGTAAAAAGAAACAACATTTTCTCCATATTCTTTATTCGTATTCAACAATACGTCATACACGTTACAAATACGGTTACGCATCGAAGCTCGCCACTGAGCCATAACTTCGTAATCCGAAAGATAATCAATAGTTTTACAATACAAGAGCCCCTGACCCACATGCTGCGTATTAAATGTTACCTTTGCATAATTATAAATAAATCACATTCATAGATCACTTGATGACTGTAAACAACGATGAACATTATATAAAACTATATAGGTATAATGTCTATGTATGTAATACATTAAAATAAGTCGATAATATCCAAAATCGATAATATGTTAATTTTGTCACATCTTTTCCCTTTTACATAGCTTAACGCATCCCTGTAGCCTAGGATAGGACTAAAGGTGTTGTGGCTCTACTGCAACCAAGAAGGAACTGAATTATTCTTGTATTTAGTTTTTAATCACTTGCGAGTGCATTTTTCCTTGGTGTTGCAGTTGTTCATGGGCAGCGGTCGACACCATCAGGTGAGCGGCATGCTTGTTTGCCCCTCCTCTATATAAAAAAAACTAATTTTAAACAAACTAAATCCTTATAACGAATATTTTATGCAAGGTAAGTATGTACACTTTTACTTTTTGCACGTTATTTTTCAACCATATTTCCTAACAAAACCAATAGACCCAACTGCATAAAAGTTTTATTTTATATTCTACGTCACTACGACGAATCTAACGACACCTATGTGCTAAAATCCATCAAGATCTTTAAGCTACAGACCGTGCCAAAACTGGTTATACATACCTACATACAAACACCCGATAAACATTACCATCCTTTTAGGGCAGTCGGGTAAAAATAAACTTATATTGTAGATGTCTTGGCACTGGAGCTCCAGAGGTTACCCGCACATTAATCCTGCCCATGTAATCATAACCATGCTTATTTTTATAGATACAAATAATCTGCTACAGATTTTTGACATTATAAATCTGTGAGTAGTTAAATATAATACGATACTATATTTAAATATTATATACAACATATTATATATTTCTAGCTTTTAACTATAAACCTCCGATCGTAAACAGACACTATCAAAACAAGGATAATATTCTATAGACTTAAGTTAAGAATAACGGTGGTAATTATGATTGTAATCCTAAAAGTAAGATGTAAAAGAAACAAACCCTGATAAAAACCAAATGATAATTAGCCCTAAGTATAGAAAAGCCGTTATTAAAAGTATTAGCAAGATAGTAATAAATACCTTGTACCTAAGTACCTTGTATGTACACGCATTTTCGGAATGATGATAACGTTATATGGAAATCATTATCTGGAAGCAATTTACTGTTTCATCCTGTGCTATAAATAACAAATAATTAAGGATTTTATAAATAACTAATATCGCAGTTTAAAGAAATAATCTTCAAACTATGCTAATGTCAATATTAATAGTAAACGTGAAGTAATTTGTCCTTCCAGTTCGAATCTGCTACACTAAAAATATAAACTACCATCTTAGTGTTTTCCGACTTTCATTGCAAAATTACAACTAAAAATCTAATGTCTTAATTTCAGCTAATAAAGGCTTTTAGCTAGAAATAATATTTTCTTTGTATTTTTAAACTGAATTGACACAACGTTAAAAGTACACGTTACAATAGTTTGTATTAGCCCTAGGTCTAGAAACCCTAGGTTTGTAATAGCATTAGGTTGTAATATACCTAAAATATTCATAAAATATGTTCTATATCAGTCAAAATATGTTGCTATCCAAAACTATTCACTGTGATAAAAACTTATTTCAATGCCACTTTCTTTTTGAAACTTATGTTCCGCTTACAGTGAATTTAATAATCCTTGAAAGCAATCAAATTTTACCTTATTTTGCCTTAATTTTATAGTAAGTTGCCAGTTAAAAATATTTAAACGGATACTCGAGCTTATTACTTGACTATTTGTTTGGATAACTGAGCTCAGAGTATTGCATATTAACATGCAATACTAACAATAATATCATAACCTTCAACTCTAAGGTTACTTGACCGGTTTTGGCTCCATCTCTTCTTTTTCCTCTTGATCCGGTACGTAATACGTAAGTTCATAGGCGGGGGAAAGTTCTACTGTAATGTTATCGCAGTTAGGGTCATACGGCTGCTGATAAGCATAACCAGATTTAGTATCGGTTGGATTGTAAACACCTTTTAGAAACGATCTAGAAGAAGCAATGGCCTCGCCGTGTTCCGCCGTGTTTACATGCATAACACTATTATTGTACAGAACCGGAAAATTGGCGTTGTAACGCGCTTCTTTTTGATTAAAATTATCGACAAATCTCTCTAGGACATCCTTCCGGAACTTTGCGTCATAGTCATAATTTTCATTTACATTCATTTTAACTTTGTCTTTTGTTTGTGCAATAAGATCACTTATTGTTACACCTCTTAAAGGTGTTTGTGTGAAGGGTAAGTAATCTACATCTCTATCATAGTCGTAATCTTTAGCAGCTTGTTCAAGAACATCCTTATAATTCCTTATTACGTATGAAGCTCTATTGAAACCTTCATTGTTATAACTGAGCCCATACGCACTGTTTTGCTCAGTAGTTATCCTCGGGGATTCAGTGAGATAAATGTTTTTGTTAAATGCATTTGATTTATACATACTTGGTAATTCAACCGGCAGTAAATTATGACTGGACTTTAAAATATTTCGTTCCTCATTGTATCTCGAATGATATTTATCTTGTAGGACATTTGTATCTTTCGTAGTAGTTACATATAATACGTCCTTTGGAGAAGGAGATTTTTCCATATTGGACTTGTATTTCCTTTCAAATTCACTAACAAATCTATCAGATTTTGTTTCATGAACATCAAGAGGTGGAAAATATTGTAATGTAGGTTTTCTTTCTGGCAAATATTCATTTAAGGGCTTCGTTAATTGATATGGTAAAGGAGGAGATGTAGCGAAGGGTGTGTTTGTCATACGAAGAGGAACAGTATATTTTTTTAATTCTAACTTTGCTAATTCTAAATATTCTGGCTCGTCATTATCATCATCATCAGATATATCATAGTAATCAATGACATTGAAATATTTTTTTCCTTTTCCCGTCGTAACTGGTTTATTTTTATCCTTTTTATGAGTGTCAGTTTCTTTTGTTGTATTATATTTTTTACTAGAAGCTTCAGATAGAACTGTAGGTGTTGTGACGGTGGTGGCTACATTTGATTGAATGGTTGTATCTGTTGTTACTGTACTTGTTATAGTGGTCGATACAACAGGTAATGTTGATATACTAGGAGTAAACAACGCGTCTGACACTGCTTCTGGTAGTTGTGCGACGATTGTGATTTCTGACATGCTTCCGGTAGTCATAAAGTGAGCTTTTGGAGTACTAGTTATTTCTTCTGAACTGTTACTTTCCTCATAGTCTGTATAGATAGTATTACCAAATAGATTAGCTTTCTTTTTCTTTGATTTTCTTTTCTGAGCTATTTTCTCTAATCTTTCTCTTAAATCAGGTACATCAATTTTACTATCTCTGCTCAATATATTGCTCCATTCAGTCTCTGTCTTATTTTTCAAGACTTGAGTGAAAGGTTTCGAAGAATTCTTTGGTTTGAAAACAATCCCCATTGAACTAATACTTTCATTTCTCCAGCTGTTATCATCCGGATCCCTTACAAATGGCTTAGGTGGTTGAACTTCAATTTTTTTCATTGGTTTGTAATTTGGACTAACTGTATATAGCATAGTGTTTTTTCCCTTATCCTGAATTGGTTTAACATTTAATTTGTTGTCAGTGCTTGTGACATCAACTTGTGTCATCCATTCTAAGTTGCGGGTTGACTGTGTTGTGTCACTACTATATGTTTCTAAAGTAGATAATATAGTTTCGGTATTATTAAAATGCTCTTCACGTTGTTGTTCAGAAGTTTCCTCGTTATTACTAAGTGAGGTCTCTTGAAGCAGCTCTTCTTTAATCGCATCCTCCTTCTGAAAAATAATAATAATTAAAACAATATTTACTGATTTATACGACAAGTCGACAAGTCATAATAATTTAAAATTTAATCATTTTACTTACTAAATAACTTTGCGATTCTAATCCTAATCTTGGGATGTTAGTACCAGCATGCTCTCCTTGGAAAGTGTCTAATTTAGGAGTAGTGTAATCACTATTTATTATTGAATCAGTGGAGTATATCATATTTGTTGTAACTTCTTCTTGTTCTTTTGATTTTAATGAAAAATTTAAAAAACCGCCTCTCTTCGATGATACCGATTCTAATTTCAATGTTTGCGTTGATTGTTCATCAGATTTTGTTAAATTATTCATTTTTTGAATTACAGGAATATTTTGATAGTCAATAGTACTAGATAAATATTCAGACGCTGAAATCGCTTCTGTCGATATAAGTTTATCTTTTTTTATTTGTTCTACCGCATCTGAGGTAATCGAATCTTTCAAAGTTACGCGGGTTTCTGCTTTGATCATTTCTTCTCTTTCCGCAGTAATCGTAGGAGCAGATGATTCAGTTGTTGTAATCACTTTTTTCCTTTCTATGACGGTATATCTCTTCCAATACGGTAAAACAGTATCTGTGTTATGGTTCTCAGTGGTAATCAACCTAGGAAGTTCGGATGCGTTTTCTGTTTCTGACGATATTGCTAAATACTTATTTGTAGGTATGGCTACGTTTTCCAATTGCGTTATATCCATTTTTATTTTCATATCATCTGGCACACTACTTTTCTTGTAATCGGGTACGTCAAAAGATAACGTCTTAGAAGTAGCTATCTCTTTCATTTGTGACGCGCTTTTTGATTTATTTGATGGTAAATGCATGTATTCTGTTGTTTTATCATTATTTAAATTCTCTGCAAATTCCTGATAAACAGAACTGTCAACACTAGAATTTAAAGTATCGTCACTTGTAACGCCACTAACAGCTTCGATTACGTGTTCTTTCAATTCATCTGTTGGATGATGCGTTACCTCAAAAAAGTTTGCTGTGGTCGAGACTTCTAGATGTTTTAGGTTTTCATTTGTAGCAGTAGTTAAAAGTTCATTACTTTTGTTAGAAATATTTACACTAATACCATTTAGCCGTTTAAGATCATGTCGTACTTCTAATTGCAAACTTTCGGCTACTGATAGATCCTGCAGGGAGTCATGGGTTGCGTTAAAGACTTTTTTAATTGCAAACGCATTGACTGTATTGATAATAAGCAACAGCACTGCCAGGTATTGCACGAACGATCTGAAATAAGAACACATTATTGGTTAATATTTAACGCGTATTACATAAAACAATGCTAAAAGCATTATATAAGCGCTATGACCGATATGTGATAGATATTTACATAAAAATGCTAATAAAATGTCGCTGACAAGAACAACGCATAAATTTAGCCTAATTAAATAGGTTTTTTTATTATCTTTCTCTTAGTCTTAGAACTGTGAACCGTTTTATGATTTAAAAATTCATCAATATTAAGTAATTCCGAAATTCGGTATCTTTTCTTTGCACATTTTTGGCACAACCGCCTCTTTAGTAAACAGTTCCGTGATCGTAATACTAGTTGCGCTACTTAAAACCTATTCTCTGTCACTGTTCTATGTATTTATCATCTAGCCTATATGACATCATTACACCATCATCTGTCAAGATGTTCCAGAGGTTTCCGTTAACTCTTAGTCGACTTTTGCTACATCTACAGGACGAGATTGTGACAGATAGTTCCTTTTTCTCGTAGGAGTATCTCTGTGTTAACAACATCCTCTTACCTATATCTGTCGCCAAGTATGTTTCAGTTTGAAGAGTAAGAGAGTCTGTACAGTTACAAATTATTAGATAGTTAATCTTAGTGCTCGGGAGTAACAACGCAAACTTTTGTGTTTGTTGGCGGCAGGTGTACATAGGGTCCAGTAGTACCATCAGATTGGACGCATGCAGCTAACTTCAAACGAAGAAGGCTACAGATGCGTTGTCATATCTAAAGACTAAGATGGAATGTCTCACAGCCCAAAATCATAATGACTCTGCACCTATCTGCGGCTATTTGGCGTAAAATGGCAGTCCCCAATAAAAAACAGATAAGCTGTTTAATGATTTGTGCTATAATATTATAAAAAGAACTGGGTGATGTTTTTTCAATTAATTAATATATAATAGCGTAAGAACGAAAATAAAACTTCCAACAATCAACGGAACGGTGATAGATATTATCAAACAAATACACTTGACGGTAACATGTGTCCTGCTAAAGTCACATTGTACCCCATTGTTTACATAATACATCTAGTTAACATGATTGCTCTTTGAACTAACTAACCATGTGTATGTTTCCGCTCAATGTCTTATTGAATTGTATATATAATATATTTATTAAAAGCAATCATATAATTGAGGAAACCTTTATTGAAGCAAAGTAAAGGAAACAGATATAATTACAACTAACATTTTTCCTGTACTGTAATAGAAACCGTTTTAAAATATCATTCGAAAAGACACGCTGTTCATGTACACATACTGCAATTAGATGATTTCAAACACAAAAATAAAAAAGGCATATTTTTGTATACGTTAATATTATAGTTGTAACACGAACGGGTCGGATCGACCGGGGAAGAACTACGCTCTCACAGAATACCATCCTAAATATCAGCTTAATGCTGCTGTGATTCGCATGGTAAGTGTAGAGAGCTGGAAACCCTGTTCACTGGAACTTAGTCCTCAGGGGTGACAACGCATCTGTATTTTGATTCTTCACTGTAGTTGTAGATGTCTATGAGTCAAAGCATCAACTTATCATCAGGTGTACTGTGTACTTGTTTCCATTAATTATTGTTAAGGTTTTAGAATAACCAATAATTTAAATCACAACATTTTGCGAACATAAACAGTTTTTCAATTAAATTTATCAATTCAAACACTAAAGTTTCTGCTATATAATTGTAAAGTATATTAAAATGCGAATATATTAATGAAATAATCGCAGCCTAACTTTTTGTTGGAGTTCGTGCATGCGTGCTATTTTTGCAAGACTTATAGTCTATATTTATTCTGAAAGTACGTATAAAGTTGCCAATTGGCCGAGTAGAAATTTTATTTCGAGGGATATGTATATTATGTCAGAAAATAGACATAATATTGAAAGTTTAAAGGCTGAAATTTTAATGATCGCAAGGATAATTCGCGAAACTATTATCACACTATCCACCTTCTTTTTTTCACCCTTCTAATATCAAAAGAGAAAGTATCTGAGTTCTACTATGTGCTGGGATCCTGTAATTTTACTAAAATTAATTCCAAACCCAAGAACAGAATAATAATGCTTCGAGTTACAGTTCAGACGCATTCCGCGTAGATCGATTAACTACGATATAAGGCGTCAAATACCTCTGTCCCATCGTGAGCATTGTGCTGCAATGCCTATGAAAACATGAAAAATTAAAGGAAAACTTACAATACATGACCCATTACATAAATTATAACCCGACTGAACATAAAAGTGTAACAATTGAAATATTTTCTACCGACTTCAAAAAGGAGACTACTCAATTCGACTGTAAGTTTTTTTTTTATGTGTACCTCATAACTTTTCTCGGGTGAACCGATTTCGATGATTCTTTTTTATTTGAAAGTTGGTGCTTCACATGTGTGTTTTTGAGTTATTCTTAATGATTTATATTGAAGTCGGCTGTACAAAATTTTTAATTTTTATTATTATACAACCATAACCCTTAATTTGTTTATGTTGTATTTTATCCTATGAATTACTATTATCATTGAAAATATAATCTCATTACTTCATCATCATTATCGTTACAGCCTATTTAAAGTCTGTCCCTATAGATAACCTCATTTGCCGCAGTTGCCGCATTTGGCAGGAAGGTTGGCAACCGCGGTTATTCATTTTCTAGATCTTATTAACAAGACGCTGTTTCATCTCCTAATTTGTTTCCACCTGTCACCTCAAACGACGCCCACTGGACGATATGAGCTAGCGGATATTCTTACACCAACACTAAGTACACTTAAAATCAAAGAGATATACATAATTGTTCAAATCATTCATACGCAGTACTGAATATCAGTGAGTTCTTCATTTCTCACCGCAGTGAACTTACTGCAAGCTGCAGGTACGAATTATATTGTTATTAGATAATTTTACAATTCTTTTTCTGTATTTCCCGCAATTTACACCGACATCCTTCCGTTTGCCCGTTAAATACGCCACGTATTTCCGCTTATGTTGAAAAATACCTAATAATTTTACAGTTCTGATCTCAATACTTGATCTGTACAGATTGATAGATATACTTTTAAAGTAGTATGACTACCGATACAAGCGCACGAGAGAATCAAATATTTTATGAAGTAGAATATAATAATTTTTATTGAACGTCATTTTTTACTTTGACTAACACAGGTTCGGAAAAAACATCTCTCCTGGGAAGAACAAGGACAAAAACTGGACAAAAAAAGGCACTGGGCCGGGGCACCCCAGTGCCAGCTCCTTCCACTTGACCGCATCCAGCGCAGAGCGATTCGAATCGTCGACGACCGAGTTCTTTCCGATCAGCTCGATACACTGGCACTGCGTAGAGATGTTGCATCTCTTTGCGTATTTTATCGCATCTATCACGGGGAGTGCTCTGAGGAATTGTTCGGACTAATTCCAGCCGCTCAATTTCACCATCGCACGTCGCGACAAAACTCGCGTTACCATCCGTACCATCTGGATGATTGGCGGTCCACCATTGTGCGATTTAGAAGAAGTTTTCTCCCTCGCACAACTTCTTTGTGGAATCAATTACCACCAGCGAATTTTCCGAACCGATACGACTTAGGAACCTTCAAGAAAAGAGCTTACACCTTTCTAAAAGGCCGGCAACGCATCTGCAATTCCCCTGGTGTTGCGGTTGTTCATGGGTGGCGGTAGTCACTTACCATCAGGTGAGCCGCAAGCTCGTTTGCCCCCTATTCAATAAAAAAAAAAACACCCAGCGGGAATTTTTTACACATTGTACAACATAAAATATGTTGTACAATTATTTACAACACTCATATAAAAGTATACGTGATTATTTATCGGCGACAGAATCAGTGACTACGTCCAGCGAGAAGCAAACCCGCCCCCTAGGGTAGGATGCAAAAAAAGACCGCATCCCGTCCCAATCGGCAGACCTATAGTGACAAACAGGGCGCCAAGCTGCAGATCGCAACTGCAATCGGAGCGTGAGTGGCACCGTACTCCGGATCAGACAATGGTTTGAAGAGCCAAGTGGGGCATCGACGGAGACCTGATATACGTCCGGATGAAAGTCAGCAGAAGGTCCAATAGGGAAGGTACATGATCCTCTACATCTGGGATCCGCGTTGACGAAGTAAACAGTTGTGTCAGACCATATGCCAAGGCAATGTCATAAGCAGATGTACCCGCATGATCGGTTAAACGGGATCCAAGTCATTCACCATGGTGGACGTTAAAATCACCGAGCATCACAATTTCTACGGATGGGACCTGTTGTAGTACGGAGTCTGCAGCCATTTGGACGTGATCGATGAGTCGGTCTGTGTCGGCATTACAGCTATGGGACCTATAGAGGCACTCAGAGATGTGGGGATGTTCTTTGCTGTCTACGCACAGCCAGGTCTAGGATGGACAGGTCCGTACCTTCAAGACTGCTGAGGCGTCGAAAATAGATGTGTACGTGACGTACACGCAAACTTCAGCCGGAGGCACAAAGGAGTGTTCTAATTTGTACCGCAGGTAGGAGAGATACGAAGTATCAGCCGAAGAGGACACCTGTGTCTAGGTTAGAAAGAGCATGGCCGGCTTAGTCGTCTCTAGATGGTATAGGACGGCGTTAAGGTTTGAATGAAGTCCCCTGATATTGCAGAAATTCACGCAAAGCGTGGCAGGGGTTGCCTTTGTCTTATTGCTCCGCTTGCCCCCAGCAGGTTTCATCTTGAGCGGAATTTCCCCCCCAACCCCAGAATACGTGGGGCAGCCTGTGCACCCACGATCAGAAAAAAGTAGGGTAGCTTGAGCGTGGATGCTCAGCGAGAGATTATCCGTCACCAGGGGTGCTGGTACCCTCCTGGGGTAGTGTTCTATTTAACTCCGCTACTAGATTGGGCCTCCGTCCACCTGCACTCACAAGGCGAAATGCAGAAGTAGACTTGACGCTGGTATTCAGTTATTAAGTTAAGGTATTCATTTTGGTGGCGCTGTTGTAGATATCAAGAAATTACCATGCGAAACAGGGGCGGATCGCTAGTTTTACATGAAAAGGAAATGCATTAAAAAGAAGACGCATTATCGACATACGAGCGTTATAGCCACCGACAAACTACGGTTTCATCGTCATCATCGTTATTACAGTCCTTCACAAGTCCACAGCTGAACAAAGGCCTCCCAAGGAATGCCGCAAAGCACGGTCCTGAGCCACCACCAATACTCAATACTCAATCATCATCATCCTCAAATAGAGAGAGGTCTGTTCCCTAGTAGTGGATATTTGTTCTTTTTTTTTGTCCGTAATCACCCCTCTTGCCAGGCTGATTGACGACCACAGAACCAGACATTTTACACTTTTGGCATTGCTCACTATTTTCATGATGATCTTTCAGAAGCCATAAGGTTCTAGCATTTTCCACGAACATATGTTGATAGAATCTCTAATGTCCTCAACTCATGGCATCAGGAAAATACTGTACCCAATCATGAACAACCGTAACACCAGGGGATTTGCAGATGCATTGCCGGCCTTTTAGAAAGGTGACTCTTTTCTTGTGTGGTAAATACTACGTACGAGAACGGACACCGCGTACAAAGTTTGATAAGTTTGGGCCCATGGGCTCTAACATATGTT